AGAGGGCCTCGTTCGAAATCATGTTCCCAGAATTTTCTCCGGGAGCATGATTTCCGGGTTCCCAGGACGCCCAAGAGGGCCCCAAGACGGCCCCAAAAGGGCTTAAAATGACATTCAAAAATTCCCAGAGGGCCACAGTTCGCTGATTTTCGCGAAATTTTGTTGGATTTCTTCCACGCGGAGGAGACGGAAAGGGCGAAGGAGGAGGAGGAGGAGGAGGAGGAGGAGGGGGAGGAGGAAGAGGAAAAGGAGAAGGACGAGGCGGTGAGGAGGAGTGGAGGGGAGGAGGGGGGGAGAGAGGAGGAGGAGGCTCGAGGGCGATCGACGATCGGAGACGACGACCAGCGACGGTGATTCACGACGACGACGACGACGACCACGACGACGACCGATGACGATCGACGACGATGACAACAGTCGACGCCGCCGATCGATGATCGACGGCGACGACGACGACGGCCACGCCGACGGCGGCGACGCTGTCCGACAGCCTCAGCGAGGCGCAAGAGGGCCCCAAGACGTCCAAGAGCGCCTCAAGAGGGCCCGAGATGGTTTGAGGCTGGCCGAAGAGGGCCTTCAAGAGGCAAAAATCGGCCCACTCCCGTTGTACAACGTACGTTTTCAGCGTACTTGCTTGCATGGTCCTCACAGTGCCCCAGACGCCCCTGAGCCCCAAGACAGCCCAAGAGAGACCCAAGAGGGCCCAAGACGGCCCAAAAGGGTCGTCCTGTGAGGCTCACGGAACCCCCAAGACGGCCCAAGAGGCCCCAAAGTTGGCCCAGGAGGCTCCCAACACGGCCTCAGGAAGGCCCAAGAGGGCCTCGTTCGAAAGCATATTCCCAGAAGCCTCTCCGGGAACATGATTTCCTGGTTCCCAGGACGCCCGAGAGGGCCCTAAGACGGCCCCAAAAGGCCTTAAATGGACGTTCGAAAAGGCCCGGAGGGCCATAGTTCGTTGATTTGCGCGAGCTGTTGTTGGATTTCTTCTGCGCGGAGGAGACGGACAGGGCGAAGGAGGAGGAGGAGGAGGAGAAGGAAGAGGAAAAGGAGGAGGAGGCGGGGAGGAGGAGTGGAGGGGAGGAGGGGGGGAGAGAGGAGGAGGCTCGAGGGCGATCGACGATCGGCGACGACGACCGGCGACGGTAATTGACGACGACGACGACGACGACGACGACGACGGTCGACAACCGATGACGACGACGACGATAGAAGACGATGACAACAGTCGACGTCGCCGATCGACGAACGACGGCGGCGACGACGACGGCCACGCCGACGGCGGCGACGCTGTCCGCGTGCGCAGAGCCACCCTGGACCCAGTCTGTTCTGCATCGTTCGAAATCCTGTCCCCTGAAGCGCCTCCGGGAACATGATTTCAGGAGGAGGAGGAGGAAGAGAAAGAAGAGGCAGATTAGGAGGAGGAGGAGGAGGAGGAGGAGGAGGAGGTGGAGGAGGTGGAGGAGGAGGAGAGGAGGGTGAGTGGGCGGGAGGGCTCGGGGCCGATCGACGATCGGCGACGGTGATCGGCGACGGTGATTGACGATGACGACGACGGTCGTCGACGGCGACGACCGACGACGACGACGACGACGATGGACGACGATGACAATAGTTGACGCCGCCGATCTTCGAACGGCGACGACGACGACGTCTTCACAGCGCCACCCCGAGGAGCCCCAAGACGGCCCAAGAGGGACCCAAGATGACCCATGATAGCTACAAGCCAGCCCAAGAGAGCCCCAAAAGGCACCCAACAGAGCCACAACGGGGGCAAGCAGAGCTGCCTATAGAGATTCTCGGGAGGCCTCTTCCGCAGCGTCCGAAATCATGTTCCCCGAAGCCTCTATCGGGACATGATTTCGGGGTTCCCAGGGCGCCCAAGGGGGCCCTTAAGACGGCCCCGACAAGTCCTAAAAGGACGCTCGAAAAAACCCGGAGGGACACATCTCGTTGATTTCCGCGACATGTTGTTGGATTTCTTGCACGCGGAGGCGGTGGAGGAGGAGGAGGAGGAGGGAAGGGAAGGAGGAAGAGGAGATGGGCGAGGAGGAGGAGGAGGAGGAGGAGGAGGAGGAGGAGGAGGGCGAGGGGGGGGGGGGGGAGGAGAGATAAGGGAGACGGGAGGAGGAGGAGGGAAGAGGGTTGTTGATGATGAGGATGGGGATGAATGCGGATGAGATGATGCGTGATGCTGGTGATGGATGATGATGATGATGATGATGATGAATGGATGCTTGTGATGATGGATGGTAAGATGATGATGGATGTGAGATGATGATTGATGATGATGATGATGTGGAGGAGGAGGAGGAGGAGTAGAGGAGGAGGAGGAGGGTGAGAGGGCGGAGGAGGAGGAGGTGGGGGAAGAGGGAGGGGAGGAGGAGGAGGAGAAGGAGGAGGAGGAGGAGGGGAGGAGGATAAGGACGATGAGGAGAGGAGGAGGAGGAGGAGGAGGAGGAGGAGGAGAGGGGGGCGGAGGAGGAGGGGCAGGAGGAGGGGGGAGGTGGGAGGAAGAGGAGAAAAGGAGGAGGAAGAGCAAGAGGGAGGCCTCCCCCGAATGTCCCCTTTATCCGATGTGGCCCAATGTTTGCGCGGCGTCGCACTGCCGTTTGGCGAGCCATGTAGCCTGAACAGGAGGGGGAGAAGGAGGAGTGAGAAGAGGAGGAGGGGGAGGAGGAGGAGGAGGAGGAGGAGGAGAAGGAGGAGGACGAGGAAGAAACGGAGGAGGAGGAGGAGGCGGAGGAGAGGAAGAGGAGGAGGAGGGAAGGAGGGGGGAGAGGAGGAGGAGGAGGAGGCGAGGAGGAGGAGGAGGAGGAGGATGAAGATGCTGATGATGGTGATGGTGATGATGATGATTGAAGGAGGAGGGAGGCGGGGAGGAAGAGGAGGAGGAGGAGGAGGGGGTAGGAAGGGGGGGGTGAGGAGGAGAGGTGTGGGGGAGGAGGAGGAGAAGAGGAGGAGGAGGAGGAGGAGGAGAGGAGGGAAGGAGGGGGGAGAGGGAGGAGGAGGCGGAGGAGGAGGAGGACGTGGAGGAAGGAGGAGGGGAGGAGGAGGAGGAGAAGGAGGAGAGGAGGAGGAGGAGGAGGATAAGGACGAGGAGGAGGAGGAGGAGGAGGAGGGGGCGGAGGAGGAGGGCAGGGGAGGGGGAGGAGTGTGGAGAAGAGGAGAAAAGGAGGAGGAAGAGCAAGAGGGAGGCCTCCCCCGAGTGTTCCCTTTTATCCGATGTGGCCCAATGCTTGCGCGGCGTCGCACTGCCTCTTGGCGAGCCATGCAGTCTAAACAGGAGGAGGAGAAGGAGCAGGAGAAGGAGGAGTGAGAGGAGGAGGAGGAGGAGGAGGAGGAGGAGGAGGAGGAGGAGGAGGAGGACGAGGAAGAAGCGGAGAGGGAGGAGGAGGAAGGAGAAGAGGAGAGGAGGGGAACGGAGGGGGTGGAGAGGGGCGGAGGAGGAGGAGGAGGAGGAGGAGGAGGAGGAGGAGGGATGAAGATGCTGATGAATGGTGCTGGTAAAACATGGAGAGGATGATTTTTGTGTTTTTTGATTGAGGAGAAAAGCTGTTCGCAGCGATTTACCATCTCAACTGCTCGCGGCGAGGGGCGGGGGAGGAGGAGGGAGCGTCGTGGGGGAGGAGCAGGAGGAAGAGGAGGAGGAGGAGGAGGAGGGAAAGTAGGAGGAGAAGGATAAGGAGGCGGAGGAGGAGGAAGAGGAGAAGGATGAGGAGGAGGGAAAAGAGGAGGAGAGGAAGGGGGGTGGAGGAGGAGGAAGGGGGGAAAGGAGGGGACGATGGGGGGCGGAGGAAGAGTAGGAGGAGAGGAGGAAGAGCAGGGGGAAAGAGGAGGACGAGGAAGAGGTGTCGTTTTCGGCCGCCTCGGGCCGCCTGGGGGTGTGGAGCGCCCAAAAGCTTTTCGAACCACGACCACGAAACTCGACGAATAACCGAAGTGCATTCAGCCTTCAACCTCCTCGCCCGTTGTTTGGCCGTTGCCCCGGACGAAGCTAGAACCTAAGCGCGCGCGCGCGTAGCGCGCGCGTGGTTCTAGTATATATATATATATATATATATCATATCATATCATATCATAAGACGACGAAAGCACGGCATACTCATAAACGTTCGACGGTCCGCGCGGATTTCTCGGGTCCGTGCCGGGCCCGCCATGGCGGCGCGTCCGCGCGGGAGTCGTGGGCGACACGCGCACCCGCATCCACGCCCTCACGGGCTGGTCCCCCGGGGCCGTGGCCCCGCGCGGGTCGTGGCCGTGTCGGACGGGCTCCTCCTCCTCCTCTTCCTCCTCCTCTTTTCTTAGCCAAGCTCCGAGGCGGACTTCCACCTGCAGCGTCAGAGAGCGCCCGGCAAGGCGACCCCTTCCCGCACACACGGGAGCCGCCTCGCCAGGCGCCAAAGGCAAGCAAGCTACAGACAGCACAGCACGGCAAGGCAGTCGCAACCTGGAGCTGGCTGATCCCCACGACGGACAGGTCCAGAAGGAAAACGAAAACTAAATCAACACCTTTGCCAGCTCCAGGATGCGTCACAGTGAAGACGCTCACTCCAGCCGTCGAGCCCGTACTGAGCTCGAGGGCCAGCCAGAGCCTCCTGCTCGAGCGGCTACGCGCGAGAGAAGGCGAGCACAAGGAGCAGGATCGAAAGATGGAATGATGATGAGGAAGAGCGGGGGGTGGTCGCCCCTGGTGGCACGCCGCCAGGACGGCGACCACAAGACGCGCAGACATTGGGGGACGGGGGGGCTTGGGGTGGCGCTCGACGGTTTGTTTCGCCCGCCTTACCACTTACGCCTCCCTAGCCCCCCCCGTCCCCTATGTGACACACGCTCGGGGTCCCCCTTGGACGGCACCCCGATAATGCAACTACTCCGTCGTAGCGAAGCGCACGGGTAAGGCCTTCATACTCGGGGTGCCGTCAAGGGGGGAAACGTCATTCGTTGCCTCCCCCACCTCATTGGAACTCCCCCTCCAAATATGACTCTATCGGCGGGTATCATCAGCAATAAAACGGGCTGCATCCAGACAAAGGCCACGAAGTGACCATATCAAAAGGTCGGCGAGTTGTTGTGGTATATCATGAACTTGAGCGCAACTCGGCCGACCACAAGGAGCCTGAAGCTCAGAAAATCGTGACACATCAACGTGCACGCTCAACATCATATACTCGCCGTCCTCGGAGAAATCCATCAGAGAAAAGGCTGTAATATCGCAAACCTTAAACAGCTCTTCATAACAAGAGGCACTGGCCATCATCTTGTTCATCGGACCATGCTCGCCAATAAAAATAGCTGGGACACCAGTCGCCAGTGCAGCAGCTAGAACTTCAAAATCACTTCTGAGCATTTCATTCTCTAAGAAAACTTCGTCTCTGGCCGACTGGGAAAGTTCCAATGTGGGTGACAATGTGTCCAGCTGCCTGCGAGGTCGGGACGCGTAATCATCGATAGCAGTATCGAGAGACCAACTTCGAAGCACACCGTCCATGAGTACACCTGCAATCTGACCCTGCCGCATGCGACTCGTCAACTTCTGAAAAGAAAGAGGCCGTTCGTGATGCTCATACTGTATCGGATATACCAACGCCATTTTTTGAACCGCACTATCAACTTGGTTGCACTTGCCAATTTTCCCAATATGGAGTATGGTCATGATGCCCGTCGGGTCTACCGCCAGCTCGCGCACAAGTCGAGGTTGCCAATCGTCTGGGGGGACATCGACCGAGGGGGCAGCAATAGGCTCATACCCAAAAGGAGACAGCCCCCTTCCGTGCCCACGACACAACTGCATCACCTTGGTACGAGCATACCCCGCGGCCAGTTGATCATGCTCCCTAGCCATATCTTCGTCATGCTGAAGCTGGATGTCTCGTCTCTCTTGAGGCTCACGGTGCTCCAGTAACCAGTATATGCAACGATTCCCTGGCCTTCGAAGGTGGCGAATAAGGTTGCTGCGGTCTCCAAATTGTTTTTCGCAGCATCCGCAAGTTGACCCCAATGCATACTGTTGAGCCAGGTCGAAGGGGTCATGCCGCAGAAGGTGACCTCTCCAGGATGCTGTAGTAGAAGTCAAGTGTCCGCATACATAGCAAATATATCGTGTCACCGTACGCTCGGGTGGGGATGGGCCAACTACCAAATGCGAAACTGTCCTGGTCGACGCTTCGGTCCCGAGCTCGTCAAGTCGTATCTCCACGTAGCGCTTCCATGCATTCTTGACTTTAGCGACAAATTGTCGCGGACGCTCACGAGCAAACTCAACAAACTCAGTAAAGTTGGTGACCGTGGTCTTAGCATAACGTATGAACCAATGCACATCCTCACGTAGGAGGCTGACCCAAGAGCTGCGATCCTCGCTCAATGCGTCCATCAGGAACCTCAACTGCGCCGGGGCCTTTTGGAAAAGTGACCCAAAATATATCAATCTCCTCCGTCGTACAACATCTTGAAGAGGTATCCGCCGTGAAAGATACAGTATGGCAGCATCACAGACGTAGTGCGAAGTCGTTCTGTGGTGGAGCAATCCAAGCAAAGTGCGATAAGAATGGAGCCGCGGTGCTTCTGCCTGCTGAAGTTGACCACCACTGGGACGGTGCCATACCTCGCTGCCGTAAAGAAGATGGATGTTCGCCATGACGTCCGCCAAGTTCGCTCGACTTCCCTTCTTGGTCTCAGGAATTGCTTTACACATACGCCGAATGGGAGCAAACGCTTGCTTCTGCTTGCCAACCGCATGTGCAATCCTCGGCCCAAGTCCAGCTTCTTCATCGATCATAACTCCGAGGTACTTGTATCTGCGAACTAAGAAGACTCGAGCCCGCCATCTAGGAGAAACAATGTATCCATCGCGATTGTCCTCGATCTGATGCCGCAGTTCATGAGCAGAGTGAGCTGGGACAATCATGATCGCACTTTTGGACCGCTGGTAGTTGACTACGAAACCATGGGAGACCATGGCTTGATGTACTATGTCGACAAGGGCTCCTGCAGTCTCGATAGTGTCTTCTGCAATCTCAGGTGCAGCCAGAAACACTCCGTCGTCGACAAATGACCCGTCATATAGCTCATTGTGTGTATCCCTTGTAGACAGGATTTGAGGCTCAGTGTCCAGAAGGAGTGGCAGGGCCACGTTGAGCTTGGCAATGTTTTCTGCTGCAACAGACAAGGGCTTCTCGAAGCTCAAATTGAACACCGCATCAGCCAGTGAGGTACCAGGGCGGGAGCCTCTCCTCGACCGTGCCTGAAGTCCGTCACGACGGGTACTAAAATGTGTGCATCGATGCGCTTCAATTAGCAAGGCCAGAAGATGCGGTCGATGTCTTAGTTCATGGAGAGCAGAAGGCTGGCTGAGAGCGAACGTATACAGAGGCAACATGGCCAACGGCATCTCGTGGTTGTTCATGATGTACTCCTCATCCTCAGAATTGCCCTCCGCTGGCAGCACCAGTGATCTGACTGTGGAATAAAAAGCAGAGCTCAAATCGACGAAGGTGATAATGGTATTACGCCCTCTCTTCCTGGATACCTGCATGTAGGACGTAAGAAGGTGAATAAGCTGCGTCGTACTATGGCCTGCACGACCTCCGCACTGGGTGGGCCTCAACATCAACTCCAAATACTCTGACAACTGATGTCTCAAAAAACGGTGCCAGCACTTTGATATGACTCCATTGAGCAAGATGCTGCGGTAGTTCTTGAGATCCTCAATCGCGCCCTTGCCCTTGAACAGCGGATGTACTATGCCGTGTTTCCAAGAAAGAGGTTCCTGCTGAAGTAAACACACCTTCAACATGAGTGGTGCGTAGTGCCTTGCCATCTCAGCAGGGCACCCAGCTACTAACTCGCCTTGTATCATGTCCCTTCCAGCTGCCTTCCGACGTTTCACTTTCGTGAACATATCAGTTACTGAGTGCAGACTAGGCAGCAACGCAGGTTCAACAGATGAAACAACAGGAAACGGATCGTGGTGTAGTGGGCCATTATAGTAGTTGACAAGTTCACTCTTGCTGATGATGTCGGCATCCTCTGCTTGGGCGAAAAACTCTAGTACTGCCTGGTCCTCTTCCTCGTCGGTAAGGACTGCTGCTCCATTGTGGTCTTTAAGGCGAATGGTAGGTGCAGGGCGACCCGCACGGCCTCCATATCGTAGTAGTGTCTTGAAGGATCGCCACTCGTGATGTGAGTCTCCGTTCGTGCCGTGTAGCCTCATCTGGTCTGAGATGGTATCAATGAAAGCTGCACGATCATGGCGAATCAATCTCCTCAACGTCGGTGCAGTAGATGCCAGGAAACGGCTGAGCGCAAGACCAAACTCATGATAGGATATGTCCAGAGTCTTGACGGCGCTCATAGCTAACAGCAACAAACCTGCGTCGACTTCCCAGGCGGCATCTGGTGAGGTCAGTAAGGGGTCGGTGGCGTGTTCAAGTAGCGTCTTCCATGGTGGGGAGTGCTCATTGTGTATGGGGAGCCACCTGCGAGCCCGTGCAACATATCGCCGAAGACGAACAAGTCGCATTGTCGATCGCGTAATGTACGGCTGATTGGCCGTCTGGCGGTCCATCTGAAAGCAAGAGCGAGCTGCGGCCACGATAAAGGAGTCGGTAACTTCGGAATGCTGGTTGACGTCCACTGTCCAGTGGCATACTGGGGTGCTGTTCAAAATGGCCGCAAACTTCGCGAGCTGCTCGGTGTCATTCAACTTGCCTTGATCCATGCGAAAGTATTTGTTTGAGGTGGACTCTGTACTAACCTGAAACTTGATTTGGAGCATCACAGGAAAATGATCGTCCTCGACAGTGTGGGTATCTATGCTGTAGTCAACCCAGAGTCTGTCGGCTCTGTGGTGGTAAGTGGAGTCGGTAAGGATAAAATCGATGCGCTTCTTGCCGTGATGGCTCCGCTCGTTGCCCGCGAAGGTGTATCCCCCTTCATGTTCGTGAAATGTGTTCTCAGCATACAGCGCATTGTTAATCATAAACTGGTAAAGCAGCCTCCCTGTGACGTCGTCCTCGGCCTCCGAGGGAGCCGGGTGGAAATTGCCGACAAAAACCCCATCGTCTTCTCTATGGACTCCATGTCGAGACCCCAGCGATGCGTTCATGTCACCCAACACAATAATCGGTGGATATTTGTTAGCCAGCCCCTCCAAATCACTCCACCATTTGCAGGGGTCAATTTTTGGATGCCGATGATATGGCGCATGGCAAACATGAATGAATCCTTTGAGGGACGGCGTGGTCACTTTCACGATTAAGATCCTGGGGTCGGCGTGCACTACTCGAAAGTCTGACCTTCTGAACATTACTGGGCCCTTTCCGCTCGTGGCATAAGGTAGTACCGTACTGACAAGTAGTGCGCATCCCAATGTCGAGTCCGAGCTAGATGTCCCAATGACCAAGTAACCATCGAGGATGGCGTCGCTGAACTTAACAGGGGATTCCTGACAACCAGCCAGATGGACCCCTGCTTCATGTAGTTGAGCTCTCAGGAGTTGCGGTCGCACCGACGGTGTGTTCTGACGATATGCTTGAGCTGCGTCCTTGTCAATTTGGGCGCGCTGGAGATTGAACGTACAAACCAACAGAGACACGTCGTATGTACTTCTCCTGTTTGGCAATGTGGTGTCGGAAGGCACCGGTATGGAATGTGCTACCTGGCGCTTCCACGTAAAGTGCAATCCATCGCCGCAAACATCTGGATATGCCAGTACATCATGGTGCTGTGTATCGCGTAGGGCAGCCCAGGCCCACGTATGTACGTCACGAAGTATCCTTACTGCACGAGCTGGCATAGCATGAGGATCTTTATCCTTGGCAGATTTGGCCACAACGTCGCAGAACTCGTTCCAAGGATGCCCTTCATGCCCATGGATATGTTGAAGTCGCACGGTCCTAGTGAGGCGTAGCACAGCGAGGAGGTGGACTGCAATACGTATGAAGGGGTCGCCGCCCATGGCGCCAGCATTGATTGTCTTGACCGCCTGTTCGCAGTCGCACTCAATTTCCACCTCCACGTCCGACGGTAACTGGAATACATACATGAGTGACCAAATAATACCGATAACCTCCGTAGTGAAGCTGGTAATAAGATGATCACAAGGAAAAGAAACTGAATCAGTAGCAAGGCCACTGTAGAAGCCATCGAACTGCACTGATTCGTCCGTAGTCGACAAGACAACGCAGGCCCATGCCGACTTGGTCGGGTCGCCTGCCCAGTAGGAGCCATCACAGTAGATCACGACTCCCCTTCGAGGGCCTGGCAACGGCGCTACCATAGATAGCGCAAGACGAGTATGGTCGTGAAGCTGACGAGTATCGTGGAAGCCGTGGACATCACGTCGTAGTCTAATGTGCCATGGCTCAGCTTCAAACTCTAAATGCACAGGCATGGGTATCGCAGTACCGCAGACATGATACTGCTCCCCAGACGATATCGATACGATGTCGTCCTGCCTTACAGTAAGGTCCACGTGATCAGTAGCGTTGCAGACTGGGTGCCGTGGGACCTGCAGATCTCGATGTGAAACATGCATTGTGCTCTCGTCCAGATCAGCGACCTCTGGGCTGGACTCAATGCTGACTGCCTCGTCAATGATTTGGGCATCAGCGGAGCAAAGATGTGCGCCTGTGCCAGAGTAAGTAGTGGTGCCACCATCGTAATGTGGCCCGTCACCCGTGGCACCGCGAAGTGCTGAGCGTCGCTCGGCAGTAACACGAGATGAATGCGTCAGTGATGCGACTAGCCCTTGTGCAGTGGGTTCGTCAGCCGCGCCACCTCGAAGTCGGAGTAACCTCGTGGTACCTTCATTCAGTTCGCTTGACGAAAAGCAGACGGCACGAGAGGTTCGTAGGTCTCTTATAGGGCTTCCAGTTTGTGAAACTGCAGCTGTGGTAGCCCATCTCCACTGGCTGCTGGGGGCACTGCCCCCATTGTCTACTCCAATTGGGCCTCCCCGCGAGGGGAGGCCCGATCACCTCGATCACGTGGGATTGCCCCTCGTGAAAGGCTCATGCGCACCCGTGATGATCCTGAAGTCGCCAAGGTGGGATAGGACCTGCAGTATTTGTAAGCTGGCATCTGTCCAGGAACATCGGTATCGCCCCCGCTAGACACCTCCTGGGGGTCGTGAGAGAATGAAATCGCTGCCATGGACGAACCTGGTGCTTGCAGTGGACTAGTCGGTTGTGTGACAGGAACCACCGAATCGTCGCCAACTTCAATTTCACGTGGCACGTCATGTTCATGTCCGTCCTTGCCTTCCCTTGGCCAATCTCCACCAATCCCAAATGAAGGTGTGCAAGCCGCGTCCAAGGGCGGGGGACCTTCTGGAGATGAGACAACTTCTTCAGGTACCGTAGGTACTTCAGGGGGACGCACTGCATGAAGCCATACATCGGGTGGTGGTTCACGAGGCGGGGATAGCTGAGAGACGTCAACCTGAGTCCCGTCGTCGCCGGTGTCTGAAGCGACCAGATCTGTGTCGTCGTTCAAGCTGGTCTTCTGGAGCTCTGCCATCGCCTCTCTGTGCATGCGCTGTTGGAGGGAAGTCATGCCCTTGCCGTTGTCCTCGAAGATCATAGTCTTGGGCTTCAAAGGCTGCCGTGGGCTTTGACATCTGATACAGCAATTTGTCGTGATATCGTTCGAAGTCGTACATTGGGTGCAGGTCCAAGTGATAGTCTTGGACCACTGTGGGCCAGGGCGTAACACCTCCAACTTATCCGAGGCTGCCGCCACGTACATGTAATGCTCCTGTACGGCTGTCACCGAGTCGCAAGCACTTGGCGGTGGCGGAGTTTCCTTATCTAACAGTTCCTGTGGTAGTGCCGTGCCTGGTGATGATGATGTAGACGTAAGACTTGGCGGTGTACCATCCTCCTGGGCTTCCCTCTGCTGTCCACATATAGTGCAGTATTCCGTGTTGTCGAGCGTGACGGTAAGGCAGCAGGGGCATTTCCAGAGTACCTGATCCAGCCTCCCAGATGCATGAGTTGTGCCGTCAGTCGTAACATTCTTATCGTCATCCCCAGAGGACAGCTTCTGTGGACCATCGATTCCAATAGTGGCCCATACATTGGGGGATGGTACCTCGTGACAGTGGCCGCTCCCAGGTTGCACAATTGTTCCTCCTGTGACTGGTGTAGGTATGGAAGGGGATGGATCCGACTGCAACTCCTCATGGCATGACTCTTGGACCGACTGATGTTGGTGTCGAAGAAGACCGTCCTCAGCATGATTATGTTCAACAATAGTCTCCTCGTCAATGTAAGGGTCTGATGCTGCCAATGCTCTAGCTGTCTGGTTTTCCTCCAACTGGTGCTGATACAATCGGAGCTCGGATTCAAGCCATCTTTGTCGGTCGTCGTACATTTCTTGTGTATTTCCCAACTGTCCCTGAACAAATGCAATCTGCTGTTGGTGCTGGCGCTGTAACTGCTGCATCTGTACCTCATGGTTGTGTGTGACCGAAATACGTCGCTGCCTCTCGACTTCGATTTCATGCTGGGACTGCTTGGCTGCCTGCTGTGATTCTGTCACTAAGTTCATGGCTATCCTGTGCTCCGCTGCTGCATATCCTCGCAAGGCCGTGATGTCACTGTGGTCGGCCGATTGCTGCGCTTCTTCAAGCCGTCGGATGGTGAGCGCTGCCTGATTTTGTGCCGCTTGTACTTGTTGTCGGTGCTCATAAACTGCTTGCTCGTATGCTCTGCGATGCACTGCTGCTTCTTCTTGATGCTGAACCTGCATGCGACTCTGATATTGCTCGACACGCTCTTGCATTGCAGACTCCATCTTCATCACCTGGTTCCTTCCATGCGCCTCCATCTCGTTGTTCTGCTCGGTCAACTTTTGTACTTGAATCTGCATTTCCTCGAACTTACGTTTTTCTCGCATCTCCATACCATACTCTAGCTGCTCAAGTCCCTGCTGAGTTCGATGTGCTTGCCGATCGAGTAGCTGTCTAACATCCGCTGGCGAGTATACTTGTTCTTGACGGCGTGTCGCACTTCTCGGAGTATTCGGCAGGGCTGGGCCTTCACACTTGACTGGGCTGTCTGCGACCGTCAATACCTGCCTCGGTGATGTCCTCGGCGCCACTGGTGATAGAGATCGAAGAAAAGCAGGAGCTGGTCCATCAGGTGGAGGAGGCGGGGGAGGTGGTGGTGGTGGTACGGCTGTGGCTTTCGCCACTGAACCTCCCCTTGCCGGCGACAACAACGGACGTCCAGCATTTGATGCATTCGATCTTGGCGATGCTGGCGGTGTGGGCCCTTCAATCGGAGTAGAGCGCCTCGAACGTACTTCTGACTCCAAGGCTTTGGCGATCGTCTTCCTTCTATCGCTGCCGTCGTTGTCGTCACTGGTGTCCTCGGTCATCTTGATGTCGATCGCGGCTTCGTTCCGTAAGTCTTCCCAGTAGCATTTGTTGTATTCTTCTTCAAGAATCTGCTGTGCAACTTTGTCGGCCTGCTTCTTCAACTCACCGATCTTGTGGTCGGTCTTCGTCACCATGTTCGTAGCTTCCCTCTCTCTTGTGGCTGGGGACTTCACATGCCATGACATATATCGCAGGACAGAGAGGTACTTCTCTTGATCTATCATAGAAAGACCTGACTGACGACCGCGTATGATCAACTCCGCCACCTCCATCGTCTGCTTATAGATCATATCCTTGTATCGTTGCATATCTCGGGCAATAGGTGGGGGAGAGAACTGTGGATGCCGATGAGCGAACTCGTTGGTGCACATCATGGTCTTTGAGATCAGATCTTTTGCCATGTTGGTGTTCTTCTCCCTTTCAGCCCGTCGCTGCTCTTCCTCTTTCAATCTCTGGTTGTTCGTCTGGTAGTTCATGGAGCAGCGACGGTTGCGGCAGTGATAGTCTGTCTTGTCGTTGACTGAGTAGCAAGCCGCACACTTCCACTTCTGTGCCATGTCGATTTGCCTCTGCGCCGAGTGATGGCCGTCGAGAATCTTCTTGCTCTTCAGGATCGTCAACAATAGCCGAGCTCCTCCCCGCTGTCGCCGCAGCCGACGATGCCAAGCGGGTTCACCCCTTCGGGGCGTCGAAGCGCCTGGCGCCGCGGGCGCCCGCGACCGCGGCAGCCTCGGGCGCCTCGCTGCCGCGACCTCGCGGTGGGGCGGCGGCGCCTATGGCGGCGCGCGGCGGCCCTCCCACCCCACTCAGAGAGGTCACGGCTCTTCCTCCTCCTCCTCCTCCTCCTCTCCTCCTCCTCCTCCTCCTCTCCCTCCTCTCCTCCTCCTCCTCCTCCTCCTCCCCTCCTCCTCCTCCTCCTCTCCTCCTCTTTCTCCTCCTCCTCCTCCTCCTCCTCCTCCTCCTCCTCCTCCTCCTCCTCCTCCTCCTCCTCCTCTGGGTCCGGATTGACCCAGGTCAGTAGATCCCCGAAAGGGTCGGGGGGGCAGAGACCCCGCTGGCCGCCGGCGCCCGAAGGACCTGGGCTCCCGGCGCTTCTGCGGGGAGGGCTTCGGGGACGAGGGTGATTCCGTTCCAGATCGTTCCAGAACGCCCTCGGAGCGCTCCGGAACGGTCTGGGAAAGCCGCGGCGCCCGACACGCCCGTCAGAGTCGCCGGATCTCAGATATTCTCGATGCATCCCCACCCGATCTCATCCTCGTCATAGCTTTAGGTTGGGCCTGTCTCCCTACAGGGGGATTCTGGACGAAAAATCAAGCATACCCCAAAAATAATCCCAAGATGCTCGAACATAGTCCAAGCATGGTCCCCAGACTATGTTTTGACTATTTTCGAATATTCCTCCTGTAGAGGGACAGGCTCGACTTGATCATAGCCTCGTCTTGCCGTGCAGCCACGTGTCCGCGGGATCGCGCCCCAGAGTCCCGCCCGCGAGGGCGGCTGGCGCGGGTGCGTTCGCCGCCTCGCGCGAGGGGGGCGGCCCGCCGCGCGCTCGCGGCCCTCGCTCGGCCCCGCCCCTCGCCCCCTGCGCCCCCCTCGCCCCGCGTCCCCCCCCTCCTCGCCCTCGCACCTCGCCCCCTCGCCTCGGCATCGCTCGGACGTGTGCGTCTCTCCTCGTCGAGGACCATCGAGGAGCATCCTGGATCATCGAGCAGCACAAAAGGAGCACGCACGGCACCGAAACAAGCACGGGGAGTGAGCGTCCGAGCTGGAGACCGTCCTGCGCGGACGATGGCAGGGAGGAGTGGAGGGGGAGGCGGCCCGCGCGCTCGAGGCTCGCGTGGTTTTTTCCTCGGCCTGCAGCGCGGGTGCTGCAAGGTGAGGAGACCTCACGGTGTGCAGGAGTGGCCCGAGGAGGAGGGAGGAGAAGGGAGGAGCAGGAGGAGGAGGAGGACGACGACGACGACGAGGACGACGAGGACGACGAGGACGACCAGGACGACGAGGACGAGGACGAGGAGGAGGAGGAGGAGGAGGACGAGGATGAGGACGAGGACGAGGACGACGAGGACGAGGACGAAGAGGAGGCGAAGGACGAGGAGGAGGACGAGGAGGAGGACGAGGACGAGGACGAGGACGAGAACGAGGACGAGGACGAGGACGAGGACGAGGACGAGGAGGAGGAGGAGGAGAGAGAGGAGGAGGAGGAGGAGGAGGAGGAGGAAAGAGGAGGAGGAGGAGGAGGAGGAGGAGGAGGAGGAGGAGGAGGAGGAGGAATACGTACACGTAAGAGCGACCCTTCGCCGGCGTGACCTTTGGTGCGGGCCCAATGGGCCCCCCCGATCGCCGAACGCGATGCGCGATAGTAGCGTCTTGCGCGCTTGTGTTTGGTCCTCCCGCGGCTCCCCCAAGGCCGCGAATCAAAGGTTGCTTTTACCCAGGGTCACCCTGGCGCGCAGCCGAAGGAGTGGCTTTTGGTTTCGGGCTGTCCCTCGGGCTGAGGTCGGGGGGCGTGCTCGCCGCCGAGGCCCGCCATGGCCGGCGAAGCCCCTCGGTTTCTCGCTCGTTGGCGCGTGGTAGCGGGCTGAGTGCACCGCTCCCCCCCTGTCTCCCCCCCCCCGCCCTCCCTCTCGCTGGAGGCAAGTCTCAGGCGGGGCTTCCCTTTCGCCACTCGACTTGGCGAGCCGTGCATGAAAGAATTCATTGGCACGGTTGTGAAACCTGGCGAAAAGCCATAGCCATGGTACCGCCTCAGGCGGGGCCGTCAGGGGCAATTCTTGGGGGGGGGATGGTGTAGGCTCAAGGGGGGGATGCATCGACTCCCAACCGCCCACTGACCGCCGGCACAATGGGGCCTGACAGCCCACTCGGCCCGGGGCCGTGCGCGTTTCCTGTCGGCGGCCTCCCGCCGATCTGACGGCAATGCATCGCCGATTCCAGCTCGATGCCCCTCCCTTGAGCCGGCCCCCCATGACGTTTCCCCTCACGATTATTCGAGGCAAGGTGCCCCGATTTCAATACTAGAGGCCCTGGGAGCATGGGCCTGCCCGCGATGGGGGTCGATCCGGGGACGCGTGCGGCGTCTGCGCGCGGCACTGCTCGGCCCGATTCAGGACGCCCCGCGGCGTGAGACCGCACGCATGATCTGGGAGGCCGACGGGCCCTGGGTCACCCGCGAGGGCGCGAAGATAATCGCACTTGGCGCGTCTCGGTCTAGACCAGTGCGGCGGCCTTCCTCCAAGGGGGCGGCGCGAGGGCGCGAGGGTGATCGCGCGTCGTGGGGCGCGATGGGCGAAGTTGGGTGATATCGTAATCTTGGCGGGGGCGGAGGATGGATCGGCGATGCATCGGCGATGTTGGGATGCAGCATGTCAGGCTCCTGACCCCCCCTTGGCCGAGCCTCAGGCGCCACCCCTGGCGCGCTCCGCGCGCCAGGGAGGAGGATCCACTGCCGACCCAGGAAACCCGCGCGGACCTCCGAAAGTTGCCAGTTGCGCAGCGTTGCCTTTCTCTGGGGCCTGCGCTCTCCTGTGTTGCCCACGTGGCGTGCAGGGGGTGTCTCTCGTGTGGGGTGGGGGGGGGGGGCGACTGGAGCGAAGCGCTTCGCGTGCACGCGCCCCGCCCAGGCGCACCCTCGCAGCAGGCGCTCGTTGCGACATCAGCCTGCAGTGATGCCGAGCCCGGCGCGTCGCCTGGACTTCAGCCTTCCCGTCCCCCTCTTCCATGGCAACGGCTCGAGCTCGGCGACGTGCTGGCGGGCAACGGGCGGCACCTCTTCGTCCTCCTCCCCCCCTCCTCCTCCCCGTTCCTCGCCCCTCACTCTGCTCATCCTCTTCCTCGTTCTCGTCGTCCTCCTTCTACCGTCGTCGTCACCTTCGTTCCGTCCTCGGTCTCGTCCTCCTGCCCCTCCCCTTTTCACCTTTCCCCCTTTCCTCCTCCTCCTCCTCCTCCTCCACCTCCTTCTCCTCCTCCTTCTCCCGCTCCCCCTCCCCCTCCCCCTCCTCCTCCTCCTCCTCCTCCTCCTCCTCCTCCCCCTCCTCCCCCCTCGCCCCCTCCTCCTCCTCCTCCTCCTCCTCCTCCTCCTCCTCCCCACCTCCTCCTCCTCCTCCTCCTCCTCCTCCTCCTCCTCCTCCTCCCCTCCTCCTCCTCCTCCTCCTCCTCCTCCTCCCTCCCTCCTCCTCCTCCTCCCCTCCTCCTCCTCCTCCTCCTCCTCCTCCTCCTCCTCCTCCTTCTCCCTCCCTGCTTTTCCCCGTGGGCAAGCGCCATGGAGGGGAGCCTCGCCCTGAGAGGCGCGCGCCCACTTTCCCTCGTGTTTGCTCGCTCCTCTTTGTCCCCTCTCGTCTTCCTGGTCCTCTGCGTGCTCCTCGTTCTCCTCCTCCTCCTCATCCTCCTCCTCCTCCTAGGCCTAGTCCTGGTTCTTGTCCTGGTCCTGGTCCTCGTCCTCATTGTCCTCCTCCTGCTGATCACCGTCTGCACGGTATAGTCCATAACCACTCAGGGTCAGGCCTTCGACTCTTAGATTTACTGCCTCTCTCACTGGCGCGGCTTCGCACTGGGCACGGCTGCCCCTCCGCCTCCTCATTTTCCTCCTCTTCCTCCTCCTTCTCCTCCTGCTCCTCCTCCTCCTCACTCAAATAGGATGCTTTGCCGCCGTTTGGCTTTGCGCCGGCGCGCCTTTGAGTAACGTACGGAGAATTTAAACACTGCAATCAACATTGTTTTGCCGCCATGCTTTCTCTCGTACAGCTTCTTACCCCCCCAATTCTAGTTGGCAGCGGGGCTGAGAGCGATCCCGGTTCGCGATCCACGAAATGTGCGCATAGCGCGGTGTGGACGCACATTCGCAGCTACCTTAATTTCCGCATCGGTACCGCCCTCCATTCCTTGAGCAGCCTGTGCTCAGAGCTGTTCTGCAAGCAAATTGGCAGTTCGCCCCAGACGTCTTGTCCGGCTGCGAGGACGCCAGCACAAGGCACAACCGCGATGAGGAACGATTCGCCCACGGTAGCGCCACGACGTTCCTCGACCCATGGCAACCCCAGTGGCACTGGCCGCAGCTTCGCGTTGGGCATGACTGCGAGGCTCCTCCCTGGGCCAGCGCTGTGCCTCGAAACGTGTGCGATAGTGCTGGCTGTCCCTGTGGACACATTGCACCACCCGAGTGGAACACTGAAGGCTAACGCACCAGATTCACCGACCTCGGCTTCGATCAAGGTTGACGGCATCATGTTGGCTACCCCGCAATTCGCCATGGCGTTCGTCCCCGCGCAGGCCCGAGTCCCAAGGCGCCTCTGCAGCCATCATCTTGGTGAGGTCTGTCTGATCGGAGGGGATATCCATCTTGACGCTCTGGGGCAACATCCTCGTGTTCTTCGTGGGCGCACTGTTTTGGCGGCGTGATGCCTGGTGAAGCCGGCCCACAGGGCGGCGGTAAATTACTGTTGCGGGCGGTGGTGGTGCATTAAGAATTGGCCTCGCACTACAGCGGTTGATGCCCAGCCGCGGAGGATGAGTTTAACAGTCTCACGACTATGCTCCGGCGCGTGGGCCATATCGCGGT